ATTGATCAAATCCAGTGTTATTTATCAAAAATAGCATAATTTGTATTCCAATTGCTATCTCATTGACTATTTCATTATTTGCAGAAACTATTAAAGATAATGTAGAACATGTGAGAAATTTTATTACTGCATTCGAGACTTAGTATAATCACCAAGTAAATCAACTAGACATGTGAACAACACTGTCATTCAACCAAGGGTCACAGAGCAGTTGTCAGGCTTGTCAATAGATGCTCCTACACTTACGATGGGGTTGTTTCCCAAAAAACCCATCATAAACTGAAAACATCATGAGTCAAAAATACATTTAACGCACCTAACCTACCAAATATCATAACTTAGCTTAGCCTACCTTAAACATGCTCAGAATACTTACATTAGCCTCTGGTTGGGCAAAATCATCTCGCTGCCACCGTGCAGCTCATAAGAGTATCACATCACATATCACTAGCTAGGGAAAGATTAAAATTGAAAGTATGGTTTCTACTGAATGGGTATTACTTTTGCACATGGGTGAAGTAGAAAAATCATTAAGTCAAACCATCATAAACTGGGATTGCCTGTATAGTCATTTACTAATCCTGAACTTTGTGTCTATGTCAAAAGATCAAGACAAATGTTCTGACAATTCAGTTCTCAAACTTGTTGCAACAATGTTGTTAACATTTTTTTATATCAGAGGGCTTATTCATTATGAATTTGTACCAAATGGACAGTTAACCAAGTTTACTGTATGGAAGTGCTGAAAAGGATGCCTAAAACAGTTAGGCTACCTGAAATTTTCACCAACAATTCATGGCTCTTGCATCACAACAATGCACCAGCTCACATGGCACTGTCTGTGAGGGAGTTTTTAGCCAGTGAACAAATAACTGTATTGGAACACCCTCCCTACTCACTTTATCTGGCCCCCAGTGACTTCTTTCTTTACCCAAAGATAAAGGAAATATTGAAAGGAAGGCATTTTGATGGCATTCAGGACATCAAGGGTAATACGATGACATCTCTGATAGCCATCAGAAAAAGAGTTCCAAAATTGCTTTGAAGGTGGACTAGGCACTGGCATAGGTGCATAGCTTCCCAAGGGGAGTACTTAGAAGGTGACTGTAGTGATGACATTCAGCAATGAGGTATGTAGCACTTTTTCTAGGATGAGTTTGTGAGCTTAAATGTCAGACCTCATACACTTATTAATTTATGTGTTTCTTTGTTGACATACAGAAACGGTACATATTTAATGTATGCAGCTTTATGAGTTTGAACATAAGTATTCACTGTGAAACCATTACCATAATCTACACCTTAGGGATATTCGTTCACTCCAAAAATTTCCTCCCATCCTTTTTATTATTATTTCTGTGTGTATGTGATAAGAACACTTAACATGAGATCTACCCTCTCAGCAAATTTTCAAGTGTACAAGACAGTATTGTTAACAATAATCACTATAGTTTATGGTAGATCTGTAGGACTTACTCATCTTGTATAACTGAAACTTTGTACACTTTGACTGATGTCTCTAAATTTCCACTTTCCCCCAGCCCCTGGAAACCAGAAAGTGTTTAGCCATAGTGCTAGAAAATAAACTTAAGACACAGTTTTATCTTTTTTGAAGTTTGTGAACTAAATAAATGAACATGCCTTATTGATGCCTATCATGATTAAGAAGACATAGTATTTAATTAGTTTAGTTTTTACAACATAAGAGTTAACAGCAATGGTACTATGTTGTAACCTCATTATCTGTGTGTATTCCTTGGTTTGTTTTATTTCTAATGTATTAATTTTTCCAAACTTAAAGATGCTTATATATCTTCCTTTCTTCCCAACAGCAATGCTTTTTAGATCCATTTTAGAAGAGGGCTTTCAAACAACAATGATCAAAAGAGCCCATGATATATGAAATTTCACTTCTGATCATTAGGTGAAATAATTCAAAACTCATTTTCAGTTTGGGAATTTGTGTACCTCCAGATGAGACAATATTGACCAAATTAGAAATAAAATATATTAAAGCTGATGAGTAGCACCAATACTTGGGTATACAAGAAGGTGATTCTTGGATTTTCATTACCACTAAAATATCACCATGGTACTGCTGGCACTCTTTTATTTAATCATGAAAATAAAGCAAAAAAAAAAATATATATATATATATATATATATATATATATATATAT